CTCTAAGTCAAGAAAGAGGAGCAGTTGTCTCTAATTAATTTAACAAGTAAGTAGTGGAATGAAATAGGAGGAGAAAAATACAACACGGCTACACATATTATGCCCCAAATGTGGAGCTTCATGCATGTCGGTTGGAATCCCTTGCCCGTAAACTGCAGCAACAGACTGACCTATTGATGCAAAATCAAAGACAATGAAAAAACATGATGCGTTAGATGGCAAAAACCTAAACTAACCAAAATAATACAGTGAATCATGGAATGCAAAAAAGATCCTAAAAGGAATAAGATCTGTATGATTGAGACGGAATAGACATCCCGTGGTCGATAGCTTGTAACTCACAATGTATAGCCAGTGTTCCAGCCGGTGGCGTGGTGGTGGACCTCACCATACGTCTCACTTCCTTCACCGTTTGTGGTTCTTCAGTGGATTCTATAAGTATTTGAGTAGACATTGAGTAAGAGTAGGTCTATCTCTATAAAATTGTAGATGTGATAGTAAGAGTAGACATTGAGTAATATAATGTAGAATAAGAGCTAAAAGAAGATTTTCTTGCTAAGTTCTTAGTGCTTTGCCACAATGATTAACTTTAATCTGCACAAAAGTCATATTAAATTTTCTAACAATTAATCATCTAATGATTAACTTTGGATGGAACTAACCAAAATGTAACATCGAAAGGAGCCATAAATTTAATCTACACAGAATAAAAAAGTGTTTATCTTATTATTTACTTTTGTTTCTTGGGAAAAGGTCGCCAGCATGTAATATTGAAAGGAGCCGTATATATAAGTTTAAATACTCGGAAGGACATATAAATATTCGAAAGAAAAACGAATTGCTCTAAGTCAAGAAAGAGGAGCAGTTGTCTCTAATTAATTTAGCAAGTAAGTAGTGGAATGAAACAGGAGGAGAAAAATACAACACGGCTACACATATTATGCCCCAAATGTGGAGCTTCATGCATGTCGGTTGGAATCCCTTGCCCCTAAACTGCAGCAACAGACTGACCTATTGATGCAAAATCAAAAACAATGAAAAAACATGATGCGTTAGATGGCAAAAACCTAAACTAACCAAAATAATACAGTGAATCATGGAATGCAAAAAAGATCCTAAAAGGAATAAGATCTGTATGATTGAGACGGAATAGACATCCCGTGGTCGATAGCTTGTAACTCACAATGTATAGCCAGTGTTCTAGCCGGTGGCGTGGTGGTGGACCTCACCATACGTCTCACTTCCTTCACCGTTTGTGGTTCTTCAGTGGATTCTATAAGTATTTGAGTAGACATTGAGTAAGAGTAGGTCTATCTCTATAAAATTGTAGATGTGATAGTAAGAGTAGACATTGAGTAATATAATGTAGAATAAGAGCTAAAAGAAGATTTTCTTGCTAAGTTCTTAGTGCTTTGCCACAATGATTAACTTTAATCTGCACAAAAGTCATATTAAATTTTCTAACAATTAATCATCTAATGATTAACTTTGGATGGAACTAACCAAAATGTAACATCGAAAGGAGCCATAAATTTAATCTGCACAGAATAAAAAAGTGTTTATCTTATTATTTACTTTTGTTTCTTGGGAAAAGGTCGCCATCATGTAACATCGAAAGGAGCCGTATATATAAGTTTAAATACTCGCAAGGACATATAAATATTTGAAAGAAAAACGAATTGCTCTAAGTCAAGAAAGAGGAGCAGTTGTCTCTAATTAATTTAGCAAGTAAGTAGTGGAATGAAACAGGAGGAGAAAAATACAACACGGCTACACATATTATGCCCCAAATGTGGAGCTTCATGCATGTCGGTTGGAATCCCTTGCCCCTAAACTGCAGCAACAGACTGACCTATTGATGCAAAATCAAAGACAATGAAAAAACATGATGTGTTAGATGGCAAAAACCTAAACTAACCAAAATAATACAGTGAATCATGGAATGCAATAAAGATCCTAAAAGGAATAAGATCTGTATGAGTGAGATGGAATAGACATCCCATGGTCGATACCTTGTAACTCACAATGTATAGTCAGTGTTCCAGCCGGTGGCGTGGTGGTGGACCTCACCATACGTCTCACTTCCTTCACCGTTGTGGTTCTTCAGTGGATTCTATAAGTATTTGAGTAGACATTGAGTAAGAGTAGGTCTATCTCTATAAAATTGCAGATGTGATAGTAAGAGTAGACATTGAGTAATATAATGTAGAATAAGAGCTAAAAGAAGATTTTCTTGCTAAGTTCTTAGTGCTTTGCCACAATGATTAACTTTAATCTGCACAAAAGTCATATTAAATTTTCTAACAATTAATCATTTAATGATTAACTTTGGATGGAACTAACCAAAATGTAACATCGAAAGGAGCCATAAATTTAATCTACACAGAATAAAAAAGTGTTTATCTTATTATTTACTTTTGTTTCTTGGGAAAAGGTCGCCAGCATGTAACATTGAAAGGAGCCGTATATATAAGTTTAAATACTCGGAAGGACATGTAAATATTTGAAAGAAAAACGAATTGCTCTAAGTCAAGAAAGAGGAGCAGTTGTCTCTAATTAATTTAGCAAGTAAGTAGTGGAATGAAACAGGAGGAGAAAAATACAACCCGGCTACACATATTATGCCCCAAATGTGGAGCTTCATGCATGTCGGTTGGAATCCCTTGCCCGTAAACTGCAGCAACAGACTGACCTATTGATGCAAAATCAAAGACAATGAAAAAACATGATGCGTTAGATGGCAAAAACCTAAACTAACCAAAATAATACAGTGAATCATGGAATGCAAAAAAGATCCTAAAAGGAATTAGATCTGTATGATTGAGATGGAATAGACATCCCGTGGTCGATACCTTGTAACTCACAATGTATAGCCAGTGTTCTAGCCGGTGGCGTGGTGGTGGACCTCACCATACGTCTCACTTCCTTCACCGTTGTGGTTCTCCAGTGGATTCTATTGTCCAGGAAGATGGTGATCCCGCTGAGTAGGATATGGAGGTATGGTTGCACATGGTGAACCACGGAATCCTCTCGGTTGTCATCAATTGGCAGTGCCTCCCGAGCAGAACTCACAAGCGGCCATCATGAAGATCATTGTGGAGATGGCCATCCAAGAGACAGAGGCATGGCATATAGGAGGATAAATGAGTAGTGCGCTGCTCGTTTACATCGGCAGCCCGATGGTCACCCGCCTCGCCTTTATGGTTATGTGCATGATGCTATGAGGAGAGGAAGGGACAAACCTGCATTACTTCCGTAGCCGGCTGATCGTCTGCTTGATCAGTTGTGTGTACATGCACCTAGTGTTGTGACATGTGGAGAAGAAGCTAGGGTCAAGTCTGGATGGAGGCCATGTAATCGGTGGTCTGTGGGGAAATATGAAGCATTACAGCACTAGTAACTGCAGGGAACAGACAGGACAACTCTCAAGAAAACTAAGACAACAACGAATGATATGGCTTCACCATCATCCACAGAAAGGAGTACCCTGGATGACTTCCCTCCACAGTTGCGGGATCTGAGCTTGCTGAAAAAGGCTACCATCCCTGTAGTAGAAGCTCGGCTCTGAACCTGGCATCTTGGTGTACAGAGCTCTGCTTAGTAGCTGCCGTATCCGCGGCAACCTTGGGTCTTGATCAGGGCGTCCACACACCTGATCGAGCTCTACCCTCAAGACTCCTCTGCCCATGTTCAGCTGTCGAAGGTCTTTGCCAGTGATGGTAACTGGGGTAATGCTGCTGAGATCAGGGAGGCCATGTCAGGTAAACTGATAGTGAAGAACCCTGCTTGGAGCTGTTTTGAGGACCTGATACAGGTTGGATAACATGAGGGTCAGCTCTGCATAAGAACTGAGATTGCAGGATGCATGTTGCAGACAAAATCGCCATTGATAAATGAGAGCGACTTTGTTGCAGTGTTCACAGGTATGAAAGAAACCGCTTGTAAATCTGATAAACTTATGGAATAGAACATAAATCATCTGCCACCAGAGTACATTATCCTCTACTTTTACGCTGTTGCAGCATAGCATGCAGTTGCGGTACTGGGATCAAAGAACTCTCATATTCAAACGATCTTGAAGGCTTGTTCGGCTGCTGGATAACCAAGATTAAACCAGCAGGGCCCAAATCTGATAGTACATGAATAACAGGTCAGCATATCTTCATCTACTCCTTTTTAGGGAAAAATCAGCGCCTCTGCTTTATTTATTGAAATCAGCACCTCCTTTACTCTGTAAACCTCAGTTAACCATGAAGGACAGAAAGATACATCATTACAGCTTGTGAATTGCAACAATGTGATCCTTAACTTGTTGAGCTTAATTCCCCAAATTCTGTGTGCACACAGCTCGGTGCCACATGAAGCGTGCTCGGGCTGGGTCTTTTTCCTTTCCTTCACCGCACCGGGATGAGAAGAGGGTGAACATTGCTTGCCAGATCAATGAATCACCATCCTCTTCTGCGCCAGCCGACCACCGCCTCCCCTTATTGTTTAAACCCTTTGTTTTACAGGTCAGAGATGGCATTTTTAGCATTATGCAGACTACTGACACAACAAAGCTTTAACAGAGCACCAAGTTAGTAATGATGATTACCAATATGCTTCAATTTTTGTCAGGACGAGGGATTATCTTAAAACTTGACGATTTAAACAAAGGCACTTCTACGACTACCAGTAACAAATCTCCAGCTACCAGTTTAAAGTGAACAACAGGTTTGTCGAGTGACTCTTTTGCCCCTCTCTTTGTTTCATTTCAGCCTTTGCCTTTATTTTGCTCTTTCTCTGGCATTTTTTTTTCTTTTTCAGGAAGCACTTCTGTGGACGTGGAATCAGAGAAAATGGCCACCAATCTTGGCAATCACAAAGTAAGTAATGATGAGAAACAGTACAAAGACATAACAAACACACAAGGACGAGGGATGAGAAACCCAAGCAGTACAGTACGTTGGAATAGAACAAATCGGCGGAAAAAACAGAGCAATGGCTACTGGCTACTGGGGCTACTGGCCACGGACGATGAGCTTGGGCACGCCATCTCTCTCGTTGATCTCGTACATGTCCCCGACGCCCATGTGCGCCATGAGGAACCAGACCATGGTTATGAGCTCGCCACCACGACTGAGCTGCGGTAGGTGCGTGCTACCCCGGCACTTGCCTGCCGCGTACGTAAGCATCTCCTCCCACACCCTGGCCACCAGTTGCCACATCAGGTCGTCTCCCAGATCCCTCAGCGCCTTGCCCAGGATCACGCCCTTGAACAGCACCGACCTGCACCGGGTGCCATTCACCGCTGACGGCTCCATGGTCGTGTTCACCCCCAGCAGCATCCTCCGCGCGTCGCGGTGGTCCGGGTCCCACGCTGCCGCAGACTTGAAGAACAGCTTTGCCTCTGCGCAGGTGTCACGGTACAGGACCAGCCCGATGCCCGGCGGTAACATATCCGGCTGCTTGATGAGCAGGTACAGCATGTACTCTGACAAGGTCTCGCTGACCAGCCTCATCATGCTCGTGTCCTCGGTCGCCACCGTAGTCTCAAGTGGGTGGCAGCATAGGTCCGTCGCGATGTGCCACACCAGCAAGGACTCGTGGAACTGCCTCTCCACGCTGTCTGTAAGTACAGCGAGCTTTTCATTCACCTGTCGTTTGATGACCGCCTCGCGCTCTTCCTTATGTGCGGCTTCTCTTGTCCATTTGTTCAGGTTCTCCTTGATCTGCCCATGAAGCTCCGTGAGGGCTCCCTGGCCGCGCGAGCTGCATGCTTCCTTGAAAGCTCCGGAAGCCACCATCTTGGCTTTGATGGACCTCTCCTTGGCCACAGTAAAAAGAAAATCAAGGAGGCCCTGTCTCCTCGAGAGATGCTCACGCTGGATGAAGAAGAAGTCGTGGAAGATCTCCTGGACGTGCAGCATCTCAGACACCCTAGCGAGCGCCCGGACCATCAGCGCGGGGCGGCGGAGGCCGTCCCGCTTGCCCCCCAGGCAGTAGCTCACGAGGTTTAGCTGTGAGGTCTTCTCTGACCAGCTCCGCAGCCGCACGCGCATGGACCGGACGGTCCACGCGAGCCACTGCAGCCACTCCGTCTTCTCGAGGAAGATGAGCATCCGATGGGAGAAGAGGAGCATGGCGAGCGCGGCGATGTCGAGCCCCACGCCACCGAGGAGCAGCGCGTAGGTGATGGCGATGTCAATGTGCGTGAAGCCGCCCTTGTCGTGGTGGATGAAAATGAGGAGGGAGGAGATGAGGCAGGCGGAGGCGATGAAGCGGAGGACGCAGCCGGCCTTGCGGTAGGTGACAGGGCCCTTGGTGTACACCATGTCGTAGATGAAGTTGAGCTCCACGCCAATGACAAGGAAGGCTTTGGTCGGCGAGTACGATACCTCTTCACGCTCGAGGAAGTATGCGTGGCTGATACTGTTCTCCTCGTAGTTCAGGATGAGGTCGACGAAGAGGCGCCGGAAGATGAGGAAGAAGTTGAACGCCTGCTGCTCAAGGCTCATGGTGGTATTCCCCACCGCGCGTGCGGCCTTGGCTTCCTCCAGGTCGGCCAAGGCCCTCTTGGCCTCGCTGTCTGCACCGGAGATGACGATCTCGACATCCAGGCCGGCCTGCTCCCTGGAGTCGAACTCGGTCATGAACTTGGCGTAGTTTTGGCCCGGGTCAGGAGGACCGAGGATGCTCTCGCGGAAGCCGTTGATGCTTCCGGAGTAGAGCGAGTAGGTGCGCTCACCGTACTTGATAATGCCAACGACAAACATGAGGACAGTGGCGGGAATCATGGGGTTGCCCTTGAGGGAGCAGAAGAAGATGACAGAGGCTGAGAAGAGCTCGAAGAGGAAGCCTATGAGATGGCGAAGCCACATCTCATTGTCCTCGATGGAGTAGGCGGTGATGGTGTCAGGGCCCCCCAGGTGGAGCAGCAGGAACGGTGTCCAGAAGGCAAAGATGATGGGGCTATTATCAGGGCTAGTGACGGAGGCAATGGTAGAGGACGAGCTGGATTTGCCGCCGATGTTGCCCATGTTATTGAGGAGGAGGCCGAGAGCGAGGTCCGCGACCCAGTCGGCGAGGAGGTAGCATGACCAGATGAGGAAGCTGATCACCGGCGAGGACGAACGCCTACGGATGGGACCCACGAAGATGAGGACCGTTTGGAAGAAGAGGCTCAGCAGCACCGCCACGCGGATCTCCCAGTTGCTGTCATCCTGCGGGATAGGAGGAGCGAATCCTCCCATCACCGTTGCCGACGGTTCAGTTTGAGGTGAGCTGGCTACCTAGCTAACTATGTATCAATGTATGTATGGAGTCTGCATCGAGCCATCGACTGAACATAATAAAAACCGCAGAGAAGAGTAGGCATGTTAAGAGTCCTAAAATAGAGATGGCCGTCGAACAAATCCTTTCCTTGTTTGCAGAGAAAAGAGACAAAGAGAAAAGGGTAAAGTGAAAGCATCTGCAAAAGAAAAATCGCATGCATGCAGATGCAGTGGTACCTGTAGCAAGATAATAAAAGCTTGCTGCAGAGTGAGTATGCATGAAGGTTTAGGGCTAACAAAGAAGAGCAGCATCAGCAGCATGCAGGCAGCATATTTCAGGTTGATTGGAACCAAAGCAAACTAACATGAGCAGCATGCAGGCAGCATATATCAGGCTGGAACGAAAGCAACATATGGATGAATGAAATGGAGTGGTGTCTATATGAAGATGTAATCAAAGCTGAACCCAAATGAGATGATTCTGGCTATCGATGGATCTCCTTTTCAAGTAACAAACAGGGGTTTAGTCTTCAGTGCAAAACTAGCTGCTAGTATAGTAGTATAATCAGTATATACGTACTGGCGAGCAAGCAAGCAAACCGTCTCGATCTGCATCATCGACGGAAAGTACAAGTGATCTGGAATTTGCCCAAAAAAAAGTGTGATCTGGAGCTTTGGTAGAAAAACTGGTGCTGATGTTAATTGCTTGGTATCAAAGGTAAACTGTCTGCAACTCGAAAAAAAATGTGGTAAGCAATCCAAGCAATTCAAAAAATAAAATAAAAATAAAAGGTAAACTGGCTGCAACATGTAAGTTTAATTTCCTGTCCTGTTCCTGACTTATATTTGGATCCAGTAGATGATTTTCTTGACATACACTAGTTTCTAGGCAATCATTTCCAAGTACTATTTGACATTTTTGCTAAATTTTCAAGGACAACATACTTATGCGTGTGTTTCAATGTGTTAATATCATGCGGAGGGACATATTATGATATTAGTGTCACTGACTGAAATTAGAGAGCTCCTTTTCTGTATTCAAAATACAAAATAATTCCAGAGATAACACTCATTTTCACATTGCCTGGCGTTCATCTAGATATGATGCTGTTTATTACCATTGCTGAAAGCAGTACTTCTGCATGACAATAGCTTCACTCAAATAGTTTCTCCCCTAACTAATATTTGAGTCAGATTCACAATATCAGCCTCTATCAAAGTCTCAATCGTTCTGTTGCACAACATTTCAGCTACTTGTTATCTGTTTACCACATTTACTGTGCTCACATTTGCAGCCTTATATACCATGTTTCATGCCGAAATTTGATGATATCATAAACTGCAGTCTGTAACTATCTTTCCATCCATCCATTGGTTGCATTCATGTGATTGTTTTGTCTTGACAGGGTATTCTGCGCACGTACAGGTACTGCGACAATGTCTGGACTTTTGTCCTGAGAGGCGCGACGTTCAAGAACGAGGAGATTGCAGAACCCCTTTCCAAGGTGGAGACTGTGGCCTGTGATTCCAGTCTGCGTAAGAAGCCTCCCCAACAGTAACTTTTGCCAGCAGTCCAGCCCCTTCAACCATAGTCCTCTCCATGATAGGCCAGGCCCCTTCCCAAACTGAACAACCGCTTATGGAGTGACTTCACCTGCATCTTGCAAGAGCATCAATCAGCATCGCTTGTGGCACAATGATCTCGCTCTGTCCTGCCGATAACAAAACATGTGGATGAGTGGGACTAAGGGTAGAGTGTGGCATGCATGTTCGTGACGTTAAAATCTCTTTGATGTGAAGTGCTCGTCCTCCATTTACGGGGAGTCTTCACGCTGCATTAGTATATTTGCCTTGAGAGTGGTTCTCCCCCGGTTCTTCCGTCGCAAAAAAGGCAATCGGCAGCCGTCATAGGAAGGTCCATGTTGTATCACTTATGGAACGATTTCACTCTATACACTTAATAATAATATTACTTGTGAATGTCTGAACTAAAGAGTGGGATGTGACGTGCTTTGTGATGGTGTCTAACTATGCTATGGGTGTCGACAAACGCAACAGTTGAGCCCGAGAAAAGTTATTAGATTTGAAAACTTTTCTTCCAACACATATTTTCACCTTCGTATATTTGGAACCAGAAGCAGCACGGAAAAATACCCCTTCAATACCATAGAAAGAAGGCATCTCAACTCCACATAAAAGAGGAAGGACGGACATGGACTTTAGGGCATCACTTTGTGCGTTCGGTTTATTCGGTTTACATGGTTCGGTTCATATAGTTTTTCGGTATGTACGGTATTAATACTTCGGTAAATACGGTATGAAATTAAAATACGGTTCGGTTTCGGTATATATCAAATTATTTCGGTATGGTTGGGGTATATAAAAACCAAAGTTGTCGCACATGTGAAAACGATATAATAATAATTTACAAATTTATGACTCAAAACACATACTATTTTACACAAATATATTTAAGTGTATATGCATGCATTGATGGTTATGGATGTGTTTAGCATTTCAAAAAGAGAAATATAACTATGTTACAAGAAAAATTTACGTGTTTAGTAGTGAATTTAACTCATGTATAAGAAAAACGACAACTTGTATGGTTATTCATTTCAAGAAATATAAATTATTTTTTACTTTGGTTTATTCGGAGTTCATACCATACCGAAACCAAAAACCAAAAAATACCGTAAAATTGGTTCGATTCGGTTTATTTTCGGTATGGTTTTTCGGTTCGGTTTTCAAATGCACAGAGTGACTAGGGCGTCTCTAGGGAGTGGAACTTCAACTTGGTATCTCTGCAACACGAAGTGCTCCTCCTCATTTATGAGGGTCTCCGTAGCTGTATATATGAAATGATACAAAGCGTTTCCATCGGCTGACAGACAGGGACCACCACGAGGAGAAGCGGGTGGGCCGAGAGCTTCTTATTTCTAGGGAGCTAAGAAACCATAGAGATATTATTGATTTGGCTTGAAAATAATAGAGAGATGAGGTTTAATAGGCTTCACTGCCAACCCCCACAGTGCTCAAGGACCAACCTTGACATCGTCAAACCACGTCTCTTCGGCAACATCTACCTCAAATCAATGTTGGCAACGTCAACAATTGCGCCTTCGCATTCGACACGGCCCTCTTCAAGAACTGCAGCACCGCGGTGAGTTCGAATGCCTTCTTCCAATGGATCGTGGTCTTCATCGCAAAGCTTTCGCACATGCTGAGGGACAAAACGGGGAGATCCATCGGCACATTTTATATGCAAATGGTAGCACGGTAACAGAACGGGGCAACATCGTCACCACCAGGGGCGGAGAGGGGGCGGCTGGCCAGGGCTGAGGCCCACCCAAGAATTTAAATTTGCTTGTTCAAAGCAGGTGAACTGCATGCTTTTTTGGAAAAGAAATTCTATAGCCGACCCCCTCCCTCTCAACATTAAGATTTCATAATTCGCAAAAAAAAAAATGATTTCAGCAAGCCTGCCTCCGTCACTAACTAAAAGGTGCAGTGCCTGTAGGGGTGGGGGTGGAATCGGATTGATGTATATCCGTATGTACGCCGGTAAAGTTGTGCCATGATCTAGGCTGTCCGTTTTCGATCCAACAAAAATATAGTTATGTTCTGCAAGAAAAAGAAACTGGAAACGTGATGGGTCGAAGGTGCCCTTGGGCCTTGGCCAGCGTGACTCGGCTAGCAGGGGCAAAAGGGGAATTAATCCGCAGAACCGACGTACCGCCCGCCGGCGATCCCGGCTATATATACCTTCCCCCGGCCGCTTCCCCCTCCTCCCCCGGCCGTATATAAGCACCCAGATTCGAATTTCGCCGCTCCTCCTCCCCGTCCACGCGCGATCCCGCTCTCCCCTCCCGGACCTCGCCGGCAAGCAAGCTCCAAGGCCTTGCCGGCCCGTCCGCGGCCCCAGATCCGAAGCGGCTACCAGTACCAGCGCGCCCGCAGCCGATCGACCACCCCGCCGGCCGGTAAGAGCGCGCCGGCCTTTCTTCGCGGTTGCTTTCCGGGTGGAGGGCTTTTGGTTGCCGGGGGCCGCGGGGGTTGATTGGTTCGGCGGAGGCGCCGCGGGGGACGTCTAGGGTTTCTGAACTCTGACGCTTACTGTTGATTGATCAACAGGGACAGGGCCACCCGGAGGTCAGGGGAGGAGGGATGGCGACGGAGGCGTTGGAGATGTACCGGCAGTCGGAGATCGGCTACGCCCTCACCGAGACGCTGGACAAGATGGTGAGCAGCGGCGTGCTCAGCCCCGACCTCGCCATCACCGTCCTCCTGCAGTTCGACAAGGTCCCCTCCCTCCCCCTTGCTGCTCCTGCAATAAACTTATCAATCAGCATGTCCTGCAATAAACAAACTGCATGCATGCCGGATGTTTTGATCCTGGTCTTGTTGTTTCAGTCCATGGGACACGCGCTGGATAAGCATGTCAAGAGCAGGGCCTTCTTCAAGGTACCAACCAACCAAATTGCCTACTCTCTTGTGCTATGCATTCATCCATCCCTGTGATTGTCATGTAGTACAGGTTTAATTTGTTTCAAGGGAATAATGCACTCATGCTGAAATACCTTGCTGTTGCTACCTGTTACTGATAATGCAGATCAGCTACACATTTTTCTTTGTCTTCTGCTTGATGCTATGTATGACGTACGACTTGTGTGCTTAATTATCAAGTAAATTGCTCTGCGTGTTATTTTCCAGTTCTTTATTGAGGAGCAGATTTATATATACTTCTCCGGAAAAAGATACCTGAACTTGCGTGTGTGCTAGATAGCCAAATTACGACAGTTTGTTTAACCTCAGTTGGGTGATAAGTTAACACATGTTCCAGGAGATCTGTTTGCTTTGGTCCAAAAAATAAATTAAAAATGTAACTGTATATGTGCTCATGTTGATTGCTTAGACTATCAGAGGGTAAACTGTCCCTTTCCTGTTCCTGACTTATATCTGGACCTACTGGATGTTTT